GGAGTTGAATGTTCTTGAGAAACTTGTTGAGAAAAATTCCTTTTTAGAAAATTCCATTTCTGATATGAGTGTTGACTTGGAAGAAACCAAGGAGAGGGTAAAGATGTTAGAAGATTCTTGTCAATCTCTGTTGGGAGAGAAATCAGCTCTTTCTTCTGAGAAGGTGGCCCTGACTTCTCAGCTACTAATTACAACTAAGAATCTGGAGGAACTCTCAGAAAAAAATATACTTCTCGAGAACTCCCTTTCTGATGCCATTGCTGAACTCGAAGCATTACAGATGAAATCTAAGGATCTAGAAGACTCCTGCCAGTTACTTGGTCAACAGAAGTCTGGCCTCATTACAGAGAGAGAAAGCTTACTATGTCAGCTGGAGACCTCCCATAACTCACTGGAAGATCTGGATAAACGATTACGAGAATCAGTAGAGAAACATTCGGTGCTCGCCAACGAAAGAGAATCTGCATTTTGTAAAATAGAAAAGCTGAAGGCTTATTTGGATGCAGAAAAACAAGCTCATTCTAGTTTTACTGAAATCAGTAAGAAACGGGTAGCTCGTATGGAGTCGCAAATGCATCTATTACGAGAAGAACGCGATCACTGGAAGAAGGAATATGAGGAAGAGACAGACAAAGATATAAATTCCCAGTTTGTGATCTTCATCTTACAGAATTGCATACAAGATATGAAGAATTATAACCTCTCTTTACTTGTAGAGTCTCAAAAACTTTTAGAGGAATCCGAGAGATCAAAAGAAGCCATCTCTGAATTAGAGCTAGAAAATATTAACAGACAGGGGCAGGTTGAATCCTTCATTGAGAAAAATAAATTCCTGAGGACAGGGCTTCGACGAGTATTGAGTATTCTTGACATCAACGCATACCCGGGATTCGATCACGAGACGGAGCAAGATCAAACACTTCTGAACCAAATTTTTGTCAAGATTCAGGAGAAAGAAAACTGTATAAATGAAATTTATGATGAATACTATCAGTTAGTGATCGAGAAATCTATTAATGAGAAGTTCCTTCTGCAGCTGAAAGATGAATGTGCGAACATTTTGATGGAAAGGGATGCACTTGGTCAGGAGAACAGAGTCCAATCTGAAGAGATCTTGATTCTCCAGAGTAGGATTGTGGAGTTGAATGAAGAACTGAGGTTGAAAGTAATGGAGGGTAGCTATAAAGAACAAACGCTCATGACAGAAATGGAAAATGTCTGCAGGAATTTGCATAATGTGGAGGAAGCTTACCAGATTTTAAAAGTAGAGAATTCCAATGCTCTTAAACAGAGGTATCAATTAGAAGAAGAGAACAGTAATATGTTCAATGAAACAATATTTCAGAGTCAACTTTTCCTCATTTGTAAAGACATCATCTCTGAAATTCTTGAAGAACTGAGAAAGCTTACTGAGTGTAGGGATAAACTCCAGTTTACAAATAATGACCTTGAAGAGAGAGTGAAAGATGAACAAACGATGAACTTAGAACTCACAATGCTTTTGGAGAGGTCACGTAGTGAAGCTGAAAAGTATTTGACAGAGAAGAACACGCTTGATCAGGAGCATAGGAACCAATCTGAACGATTTTCGACGCTCCAGGTTGAGATGGAGAAACTTCTAGAGCTGAATGAGGACTTGAATTTGAAAATAGTGGAGGGAATTCACAAAGAAGAAGGCCTAATGACTGAAATGAAGAATTTATGTAAGAAGCTACAGGATTTGGAAGGGAATTACCAGATTCTTCATGATGAGAGTTGCAAAGCGAACAAAGAGAAACAAGATTTAGAAGAAGAAAACATTAATATGTTCACTGAAAACATATTTCAAAGTGAACTCTCCTTTGTTTACAAGGATGCTATCTCAGAAAATCTTGCAGAATTGAGAAAGCTTACTGAATGCATGGACGAACTCCGCTGCAGAGAAAATGACCTTGAAGAGAGAATGAAATTAATGTTAGCAAAGTTGGGAGATGAACAAACAAAGAACTTAGAACTCAGGAATTCCTTGGAAAAGTCACAGAGTGAAGCTGAAAATTACCTGATGGAAAGGAACATGCTTGACCAGGAGCTCAGCAATCAATCTGAAATGAATTCAATACTACAGGGTAAGATGGAGAAACTTATGGAGTTGAATGAAGATATGAGCTCAAAATTAATAGATAGCAATCACAAAGAAGAATTACTTATGACTGAAACGGAGAATGTAAGCAAGAAGCTGCAAAATTTGGAAGGGGCTTATCAGATATTACATGCTGAGAATTTCAAGGCACTTGAGGAGGAAAAATCCTTGAGAAAAGAAATCTTAGGCTTGAGGGAAGATAAACATGAATTAGAAGATGCAAACATCGATATGTTCGGTGAGACGATATTTCAAAGCCAACTTTCCTTTGTTTACAAGGATATTGTATCTGAAAATCTACAAGAACTGAGGAAGCTCGTTGAGTGTATGGATAATCTCCAGTCCACAAATAAAGACCTTGAAGAGAGAGTAAAACTAATGGAAAGAAAGTTGGGAGATGAACAGACGAAGAATTTTGAACTAGTTGAGTCCTTGGAGAGGTCAAAATGTGAGATCATGGAAGTAGAAACAATGATGAGCTTGAAGGAAAATGAAAAGTTGGAGCTCTGTGAAATGGTGGAGCGGCTATCGACGAAGTGTAACGAGTTAGAGGGGATAAACGACGAACAAAAGAAGCAGATGGACAGAATCACTTCAGATAAAGATTTCCTGGCAATGGAAACTGAATTTCTTCACGAAGAGAATCAAAAAATGGATTCGAAGCTAAAGGAGATGCAAAAGGAAGCTGAAAAGAATGTATTCAGAGAGAAAAGTTTAATATCTGAACTTGAGATGAAGAACAATGAAGTTCAATCATGGGAAACTCAGGCTGCCATTTTCTTTGGTGAGCTGCAGATTTCTGCTATTTATCAATCAATTTTTGAAGGCAAGAGTCATGAGCTAACAGAAGCATGCCAGAACCTTCAAGACAGAAATACCTCTAAAGATGTGGAGATCGAATTGCTGAAGGACAAAATTAGTAGTTCAGAAGGAGAAAATGGAAGAATGAAAACTCAGTTGGCCGCATATGTCCTAGCTATTCAATCCTTGAAGGATTCTATAAATTCTCTTGAAAGGCATGCTATTTCTTCGACAAAAACGCAAAAAGTTGACGAACAAGAACTGAAGGTAATAACAATACCGCTTTTTCTGTATATCAATTTTTATTTTTGCTTATAGTCTTTTTCGTGTTCATATCCATATAGTTCAGAACTCGTTACTGTTTAAAGCATCTTATTGCAAGTAGAGGAAACTTATAAATCCAAGTTTATTTAGCTTTCCAACAGGCTCAATCAATAAAGGGGTGTCTGAGTTTTGGTTGCATAATCTCAGGGCCTTTTAACTTTCCTTTCTGCAGGAATCTGGTTCTGCAAGTTCCGAGCATGATGAAAGCATTCAGCAGCCACATGGTGATCCAGTTCACCATGATGGTTCAGTTGAGCTGCAAGATTTGAATAGGAGGATTCAAGCAATTGAATTAGCATTTCAAGAATTTGCACTAGAAAAGTGTAACGCCAATGCCAAGCTAGAGAAAGTAATGAAGGAGATGGAACAGCTAAAAACTGGCCGAGATCGTAGTCGTGTGACCAAGGACAAATCAATACTCCATGGACAAGAGCGTTATAATCGATCACATTCAAAGTCGGAAATTTATGAAGCAGGAAATGATGTTCTGACAAAAGACATCCTACTTGATCGGATTGCTGACCATTCATCATATGGAACCAGTCAAAGAGAAACTGCAGCAGCTGGTGATCGGATGCTTCAGCTGTGGGAATCAACTGATCAAGATGGCAGCTACAACCGGGCCATTGGCAAGGCTCCTATGCTAGCAAGCTCATCTACCGAATATCACCGGGTTGGATCGACCAGGAGACGAAGTAGCAAGCACCTTTCAAATGAATCATTGATCGAGAAGGAACTGGGTGTGGATAAACTAGAGATCTCCAAAAGACTTTCTGAACTCCCACAAGAAGGAAACAAGAGAAGGATTCTAGAAAGACTAGACTCTGATGCTCGGAAATTGGCAAATCTTCAGATAACTGTACAAGATTTGAAGAAGAAGATGGAGACTACAGAGAAGAGCAAGATAGAAAAAGGTGCTGAATATGATACAGTGAAGGGGCAAGTAGTAGAAGCTGAAGAAGCCATCACCAAGTTGTATGAGATGAACCTTAAACTCACAAAGAATGTTCAAGATACTTTTCCGGCTGCTGATGGAGGAGGCTCATCCACACTGGGGCCAGAGGAAAATGAGAATGTCCAAAGTAGGCGAATTTCAGAACAAGCACGGAGGGGATCAGAGAAGATCGGGCGGTTGCAGTTGGAGTTAAAGAGGCTACAGTTTCTAATAATGAAACTCGATGGTCAAAAGGAGGCCAAGGGAAGAACTAAAGTATCCGAGCGGAGTCCGAGAGTTCTTCTACGAGACTATCTTTATGGCGGGACGAGAACCAAGCAGAAGCAAAAGAAGAAGGCTCCTTTTTGTGCTTGTATGAGACCTCCAACAAGGGGTGATTGAGGCTTTGATTTTTATCTGTGAAATAATCAATTCTAGTTTAGTGAAAAGGAAATATCTCTTGGCTCATCATCTATCAATCTTTCTTTGTTTGTATAGAGAGGTTTTTATGTTACCTTAGCTTTGAGATTATGCTGTACATGAAAGGCTGAATCTAATCAGAGAAAGCTGCTCTTTTTAGATGCTCTTCATTATCCATAGAATTTTTGCAGAACATCTTTAATAATTTTGATTTTTTATTATGCGAAAATTTAAACTTTCAATGTCATATAAAAAGAATGTCTCGACAGTTGAATTATACTCGTTTTGATTTAAGGCTCTAAGTTTGACTAATTGTTCGCAACTTGGTGCTAGTTTCTTGTAGTTTTGTTATTCAAATGTATTTCTAACGGACTTTCCCAATAGAGAAAAAGATGAAAAGAATCCAGAGGAAAAAAGGCTTGGCATTATTTTCAGATACTTTACGGTAAGTAATTCGATCGAGAAGAAAGGGGATACAATACAGGCATTTCCTTACTTTCATCATTTCTCTCTCTTTTTTCAGTATTAATTCCATATATTATATATATATAAATACCATTTTGGCCTACAAGTGATACTATCGAGAGGGGGAGGAAAAATTACCCCGGAGGTTAACTTCAGCTTGAGACATTGTTCCATGGCTCTACTTGCTTTCCTTGATTCGATTATTTAGACATTGTTCCATGGCTCTGCTTTCTCATCAGTTACAAGGTTTGGTTTGCAAGAGTGAAGCCTATAGTTGCAGGCTGCTACAGCTTCAGCGATAGTAAGATAGATCCATTCGTGTCCGAGGCTTTCGATGAACTTGCCCTTGTCCAGCTTCTTCATCACCTCAGCTCCAGGGTTGGCCAAAACTATCTGCACACATGGGAAAAGAAATGGAACTTTGAGTGGATAGCAAATTCAAGGGTAAAAAGATTTGGATGGAAATGTTTTCTAAATTTCATCATAACTTCAGCAGCTTTAAGAGTATGCAGCTGAAAATGGAAGTTTTGAAAGTGGCATACTGTACCTTCAATCCCCTTCTAGTTAAAATGTTCTTGATCTCTTCAAACATGCTTATTCCACTCGTATCAATGTTGCCAACAGCTGAAAAACAGATTAATTCTCAGACTACTGTATCAAAAACCAAACATGTTTGCCCATTTTTCAGCAGTTGAAGATCCAACACTTACCACTCATGTCCAGAACTACATATTGTAAGGTACTTTCGCCGGAAGCTTTTATCCTGTCTTCCTCTTCATCAACCCACCTTATAATCCTAAAGCATAACAGTTTCGACTTTCAGAGAAAACTTCCAAAAATCCATCCAAATAATCAATCACTCAGTATTCACATGAACTTGAAAGAAGTCAACATTGCAATGTTTGTCAATGACGTGCCAATGTGATAGATGTAATACCTTTCTCTCAAGTAGCTGGAATTAGCAAAGTAAATGGGAGCGTCGATCTCAAGTATGAGAATGCCGGGAACATTATCGGCATTTGGGTATTGCTCGACGTTCCTGTAAACCGTGGAATTGGGAAGGTTTCCAAGCACAAGTGTCCTCGGCCTCGCAACGAACAAAAGTAGTCTTAGCAGAGATATCACCACCTGCAATGAGTTGGCCACAATGTTGTGAATATTATTTACAAAAGTTTAAATATACAGAAATGTGGCTAAGAATACGTGATAATAGGTTCTAGGACCCTAAAAATGGCGTAACACAGGAAGAAACTCAGCTAGACATTTCGACAGACACCTTACGGGCACATCAAAAGCCACAAAAGAAGAAGTCAGAGCATACCGCAATGACCAAGCCAATTTCAACACTAGCAAAGACGACACCAGCATAAGCAGCAATGCAGACAAGGAAATCGAACTTATCGACCTTCCACAAGTGAATAGCGGCGTCGTAATCGATGAGGCCAAGCATGGCGGAAATGATGATAGAAGAAAGCACAACAATAGGAGTGTAGTAGAACAGAGGAGTCAAGAACAACAGCGTCAGCATCACTGCAATCGCCATTACCACGTTCGATACCGCCGTTTTGCATCCTGCATTGTAGTTCACAGCCGATCGCGAAAACGGGCCTGCAAATGCGGTGATTTCGATGTCAGAACAAATTGGTTTTCCTCAGAAACGGATGATAAATTGATTGTGAACGGAGGAATATTTCTCGAACCTGTGGTGAGATAGCAGGAGAAGCAAGAGCCGACCATGTTCATGGTGCCAATAGCCACCATTTCCTTGTTGCCATCGATGTTGTAATGCTTGAACATCGCAAAACTTCTTCCTACTGCTATTCCTTCCTGCGCATTCATCTCATCAATTCTTCATCCCAAAATTTCTTCGATTTAATCCACTTTCAAAATCGTAGTCTTTTAATTTTTTATTTAGTAAACGTCTCACAAATTATTATTATTATTTTTTTTATAAACAATCAATTTAAAAATTAAATAATTACGAAACCAAAATCATTTTTCTTGAGATTAACTAAAAGCCAATATTTTTATAATTATTTAATAAATCTCTAATCTCTCAGTCCAATACTCACATTATTGATTTTTTTTATAATTATTTTTTATTCTAAAGGAGTTAAAGACATATTATCAATCGAAACTAAAAAAAATCAAATTTTGTACAACAAATAAAGAATGGGATGAATACCGCAAGAGCTATAACCCCAGTGATGATACCAGTTTTAATCGTTGTGGAAAGATAAGATGACACCAACACCAAATCTGTAATAGACACTGGATTTAGCCCTTTCTTTAATTCTCCAATCTGTTCCCAAAAAAACATATTGAGTAGAAAAATTTAATAGAAAAATCACAATATTATTAACTTTCAATTATATATATATTTTTAACATATTTAAAAATATTAAAACTAATTATTTGGTTAACTATAAAATTATAACATTTTTAAAAATGTCAAACAATTCATAAATAAATAAATAAATAAATAAACTACTACTTGAGTTCCTATTATTGGTGGGGACCATTCACTTTGTACATAAAATGGACAAAACAGGTTTTTTTTTTTTTTGTTTTTTTTAATGATTATCTTTATACTTTTTTTGTGACAATAAGCAAATTGCATGTAAAATGAAGGACTAAAACAAAATTTATGTAAAAAAAAAGGGCCAAATTAAAAGAAAAATACTAATTGAAGGACTAGAATTTTAACCAAAATTATTTTCAAGAAAATATGTGGTGTATTTTAAATATTCCAAAATTGGTAGTCGGCCAAGCCTGATTTTTTTTTTTTTTTTTTTTTTTAAGCTCTATCCTGTCTATGTATGGCGGTTTAAAGAAAGCCATATTACCAAATTCGCCTCCATTATTTCCACCAAAAAATAAATAAATAAATTATTATTATAAAAAAGTAATAATAATTTAAATTAATGTATTTAATTTAAACTTACCACTTCGACTCCGTGCTTTTCCGCATGAGCGAGAAACACTAGAAGGCTTCCTAAAATCACCGACGTTAAAGGTGCCATTGCTGATATCCAAAAGAATTTCGGTTTTTTCTTACTCTGAAATAATAATTTAACATAAATCAAATTATTTATTTATTTATTTATTTCTTTTTTATAAATTATTAAAAAGCTAAATTTTATTTTTACTCACAAAGTATTTGGTGATGAGGAGGAAGAGCAGAAAACCGCATCCCAATACCCCACTTTGCCATCTCCACTGTAATATTTAAAATTATAGAGACTAAATTGAAACTTATAAATATAAAAAATGAATATTCAACCTCGTGAATTTGAGAAAAAACAGAACGGAGAACAGAAACAAGATCGGTGGCGTGGGTGAAATGGGTGAGACCAAGGATTCCCTTGAGCTGTTGCAAGCACACCACGGTGGCAGCGCCGCCCATGAATCCGACAATGGTTGCGTGTGACAAAAAATCCACGATGAACCCTAGCCTGTATTAATTCATATTAATTCATATCCATGCAAATACTTTATTCTTTTATTTAATTAAGAATTAAAATATAAATATTGAATTTTCAAAATAGGTGAAGGGAATTGCCTTAAGAGGCCTAAGGAGGCCTGGAATACTCCGGCGAAGAAAGTGGCGGTGAAAGCAAGGTGGAGATAAAGAGTGGGATTTTGGGCGGCGTTAACCTCCACCCCTAACATTGCGCCCATCAGAAGCGACGCCACCGCCACCGTTCCGACAGCCAAATCCTTCGAGCTTCCCATCATTGCATATATCAGCGGCGGAATAAAACTCGAATCTACATTACATTAACACATATACGTGTAAGCCAAAACGACTTAGGTTCAAATTCGACAATATCATACCAGTGTGAAACTAGATTCTTAACATAGTATCAGAGTCATGCTTAAACTTAACCATGTTAACCCAATCTTAAAATTTCGAAGAAAGAATTATGAGGAAGGTGTAGTTAAAAGTGATTCAAGTATCAAACAAATGATGTACTTTATTCGAGAGCTCTGAGAGAAGGGGTCGAGCTTCAATTAAGAGAAATTTGAGGGCTCCATAGGACTTAGAGAATATTCTATGGTATACTTGGTTCGAAGTTCGAGGAAAGATTATTGAGAGGAAACCGAGACTAACTTAGAAAATGATTAACGATTTATATAAGTAAAGAAAACATATTTATTGATATAAGACATTTTCAACCAACTCAAATTGAGCTACGAGAGCTTATACTACAAGTTTGATATATCATACTATTGTATAGAGTCGTGATTTTTAGCTTTATAATTTACTTACAGAGGCCGAGAATAGGCGGCAAGTTAGCGAGCTTGGCGTAGCTAATGCCCTGAGGAATGGCGAGGCTGGCAATGGTGATACCGGAGATGAGATCCGATTTCAGGAACCCAAGATTATAACGAGGCCCCCATTCCACTACTGGGAAAAAGTACTGCAAACCCAGAACAATCTTCCTCCTCGCCGGCTGGTTCTTGAACTGCCGGAGCGGGTCGTCTGGGAAGAACGTCTCCTTAAGACAATTCTTCAGCGACTTCACGAACGGCTGCGGCGGTGGAATCGCCGCCTGGTGCAAGCTCTCGCCGCCTTCCGCCGCCGATGGGTACACGTAATCGACGTTACCCATTGGAAATCAATTTTTTTTTGGTCTGGGATTTTGGGAGTGTGTTCGAGCGTGGAATGGAGGGAAATGGTCACGCAGAGAGAGCTTTATATATACGTATACGTATACATATACATAACTAAAAACAAAGGAGATTTTATTTTTATTTTTATTTTATTTTATTTCGAGTGGTATGTGGGTCCCACTGGCGACACGTGCCCTTTATTCTTTATTTTTTCGTGCATATCCTATTAAAATAATAATACTAATAAAATACCAAAAAAATATATGAAGAAATTTCAAATAAAAGTTATTATAAAAATAAGATAATTAATAAAAATTAAAAATAATTGAAAGTCTCTAACTATGCAAAAAAAAAAAAAAAAAAA